TAGAAAAGTTACAAAAAATGTACTGGTATTTCACAATATTGCAGTTTTCCCTGTATTTTTGATTAAATAAATGCAGCATAGGTGAGAATAAGCGACTCAATCTAATCCAAAGTTTTGAAATGGTATCTTTTGACCTTTGACCTCTAAGAGTAATTGAGAACATTTTCAGCTTTTCTCTGAGCATCTATCAAAACAAAATGCTCAAAAGTTGCATAGGCCATAAAAATGTGATACATAATGTCTTGATGTTTTTTATTATTATTATTATTACAAACGAACTGTGTTTTTGAAAAATGTGAACACATACTGATTTATTTAAAAAAATAAATAAATTCTTAAAATAGTAAAATTATCAAAACTAAATGCTCAAAAGTTGCATAGGCCATAAAAATGTGATACATAATGTCTTGATGTTTTTTTTAATTATTATTATTACAAACGAACTGTGTTTTTGAAAAATGTGAACACATACTGATTTATTTAAAAAAAAAAAAATTCTTAAAATAGTAAAATTATCAAAACTATAACATCATGCTAAAGTCAGGAAATTGTCACAACAAAAAAAGTTATATATATATATATATATATATATATATAACTTTTAATAAAAATATATATTTAAAGGTAATATATTGTATATACTGTATCAATAATAATAATATCTCATATTTCAACTTGCATAAAGTCGACTACCTTTTTAGATTTCATCACTGCACACTCTGTTCATTCTCAAACAACTAAGCTTGAGGTGCATTCTGGGATGCTTTTGAATTAAAATTGCAGTTTTTTAAAGAAAATTATATATATGCACCATTTGTTTGTCCGCACAACTAATTTCAAGAAGCACCAAATGTGTCCAAACTTTAGACTGGTTTAGTGTACAAAATTTCCAAAATAAAATATTTTTTTCTCCATTAATGCACTCTATTTGAGTACTCAAATAGAAATATAACACACAGTGACTACAATACCATTCTCTGCTCTCAAGAAGGCCACATACGCGTGTTTACAAAATGCAACCTGCGGTTTTGTCTTTTCATGCAATTAAATATATCCAGTGTATTCTGATTTATTTGAGATCACTGCTACTGTTTGATCGCACGGTCATGGCCATCGACAGACCCTTGATTAGGCCTCCATCAGCACCTGTGGAACCGCATGCGGTGAGGCTTTCAGAGCGAGATATGTGCACTCGTTGCGGTTTGACAGGCTTGGGGCAACAGTTAAACTGTAATGGAGCATTGCCAATAGCAACCTGGTCAACCGGTCACAATGGCTCTGCAGGTCTGGGTCTCATCTCGCAAACCACTCTGCATCTGAGAGAGGCCACGTGTAAAAATAGATGAGCTTGATAGGACTTGAGACGCGTTATCTCACACACACACATGTATGTGCAGTCAAACCTCCTACACGGCTTCAGCGCAGCCCACCGAGTTTTGATAGCCTGAACGCAGGGGCCACTGTAAAGGGAATCCTTTGATTTGAGACCTTAAAGGGGTCATGATTGAACCACTTTGGGCCTTGATATGGTCTTGTAGCAGGTGAATGGATGCTAATTAAGCTGCAGTGTCTTTGGCTGCCACTAGATGGAGCGCTAGTTGAAGAGTATTGAAACAGGAGCATGTGTGTTAGCGATCCAAATAAAATAAATAAATAAATAAAAGTGATACATCACAAATGTCCTCACTGTAGTTATCTGAGAGATATGTCTTCATTTGCACCTTGTACCGGGCCAGTCGTCTTCACACCTAATGCAGTTCTCAGACACTTTTAGCGCTAGAAGACTTCCTGGCTTAAGTTAGATTGTTTTGCCATATCGCTGATGTGTAAAGTTATATCTGTTTCCATGAAGCAAAAAGGAGAAGTGAAAACGATAGATGACAACAAAGACAACAAGATTAAGGCATAATAAAACAACATCTTCTCAACTTTTCAGTCCACTGTGAAGAAAACCTTCATGTTTGAAGATGCTTCAATGTAAACATGCACACATGATGGCTCGAAAAATATCGGCCTGTAGAAAACACACAATGACAATATTTTGAAAAGAAAAAAAAGGTATAAAATATATGATCAAATATATAATATATGTATATCTTTTACCCTTTTTCAGACATCTGACTTGAAGTTGACAATGCTTATCATTCTCTCTTTTAAGGACTGTCTGCAAACTTAGTGCATTTATGCCACCTACTGAGCAGTATTAGGGACCACAGATACTATACACTATTACATCATATAAATTATACACAACTTTGTGATTATTAATATTTAGTATTCTTTGTATAAAAAAATTATTAAAGCACCAGTCAATAGCTTAGACACTACATTGTAATTTCTGCCTCATGATTTATGTTTAAATATTTTGTTATAGACAGAAATTATGCATACTTATGAATTTCACTTTTGTGCGTGTGGTGTGTTTGGGGGGGGGGGGGGGCACAATTTTTTATATA